TGGTCAGCCCGGACCACAATGCAACATTTAGCGATGGTCTGGGGGAAGCATCTCTGGTGGACGGCACTGGCTGCCTCGAGATGGAACCCTTCTTGAACTCCATTCTCGGTACTCGTCAGGTTGGACTGGTTGGTGGAAGGGAGATCGGAGAGTGTCCGGCCGAAAGCAGCTATGCGCTTTGAGCTCCACTCCACCCAGGACTGCTGCTTGAAGCCTTCATACCGGTGCCGTGCCACTGCACCTTCCCGAAGACGGTCTACAGCCACGGTCTATTTTTTGATTTTCAGTCCAGGCCTCACGCATTGCTATCGCGTTGACGGTTGCCACCCAGCTGTCGGCGTCGTTCCGGACCCCGTGAAATTCCGGTAGTTCGCAGGCGGCTGGTGATTGTGAGGTGGAAGGTGGCAACGCAGAGATCACCGACGCGAAGCAGTCGAGCTGGTGTGAGAGCTCGATCAGAGAAGACCGAAGCTCCCTGCGTTGCTCCGGTGTGCTTGCCTCAAGGTCGTATGAGGCAGCTACATCCAACACTGCGTTAATGTCCCACAATGCTGGCGACATTCTAGGAGCTCGCTCGGCGATCAACGCTGTCAGTTCGCTAGTCACGACGTGGAGTAGTGCGATGGTACGCTGCAGGTCGACGGTGCTGTCGGGCGTTAAGCCTGAAGAGTCAGTGGTCGTGCTCGTTGAGTAAGTAGCAAATGCGGCACTCACCCCGGTGAGGTCGACGAGCAGGGAAGCCTGGACGGCGTTCCGTGGCAGCTCGTTTGTTGAAAGAGTACCGCAACGGGAATGTAGGCCATGGGAAACGTGAGCGGCATTCCCAAGGGACAGGAGCCAGTGCTTATCTTTACCGTGAAACGGTGGCAGGGTTTCAATCAGGTCATGGCCTAGAACCACAGGGAAGGCCTGGACAACGTCCACAAGGGTGGCTGAAGGGTGGCTGATGTGGTGGGTGGGACCCCGTCGCTAAGGAAGCGTGAACGGCGTTCCTTGATGGAGAAGCCCGCACTGCCGACGAACCACGAAGACACGTACCGGTGGCTTCCCGCAGCGGGTTCACTTGTCGGCTTGCGCTAACGGCAGAATTCATAGCCAAGGACGCGTGGACGGCGTCCCTTGTGAAATGGTACCGGTAACGTGTACTGCAGCCGCTGAGGAGGCCTTGACGCCGTCCCCGAACGGTGGTGGCAGTGGCGGTAGGTGAACAGCTGCTAAGGAGGCCATGACGCCGTCCTCAAGCGGCGCTTATCGCGGCTGTCCTAGATGACGAAGCCGGGACGTAAGACTTCTTCGTCGTCGACTGCGGCATTGTGACGGAGAGAAAAGAGATAACACCCGATCCTGGGTCAGCTGTTCTTATTCTGACTTCGCTCTTCTCTTCTTTGCTGTAGCTACCCGTGCGCTGAAGCGCTAGCGTCTTTCTTGGTCATGACAATATATATATATATATATATATATATATATATATATATAATATAGAACCAATGTAGTGTAAATAGGAAGAAAGAAAAATGGGTGAAAAAATAACCTGCCGTGAGCAGATTATTTCACCCACTTTTCTTTCTTCCTATTTACATTACATTGGTTCTAATACATTCCCCTGCACTTTCCTTGGCATTATTGTCTGTTACATCTCAAGAATATTGTGTCAAAACACGGAAAACTGAGCTTTAGGTATACACTCCTGTCCCATATATATATATATATATATATATATATATATATATATATATATATATATATATATATATATATATATATATATATATATATATATGAAAGTAGATGCGCTTTCACATAACAACTGTTTTTTGTGCCGACGTTTCGACAGGAACCCCGTCTTTTTCAAGGCATAATACTATTTACACATGTTCCGTGTCTTCTTATATCCTGTCGAGACAGGAGGGGAGGGGTCAAAAGAGAGAGAGAGAGAAAAAAAAAGGAAAAAAAAGAAACAGCGAAACGGGAGGACAAACATTAAATAAAATATAGAAAATCTAGGAGAAGAAGCAAGACGAACACGGCGTAATTAGAAAGGGGCAGCATTTCAACAGAGTGACATAGAGATGATATATTCATAATTTGGACACATTCGGAAAACGAGCTCCCCAAATTCATAAAGGCATTCAACCAGGTACACCCCAGCATTTATTTTACACACACCTACTCTAACACTGAAATAAACTTTCTTGATGTACTCATTCGAGTTGACGATGGTGCGTTGGTAACTAACGTATACAGAAAACCTACAGACAGGCAACAATACCTGCACTTCAAAAGCTGCCACCCGCGACATTGCAAGACCAGCATTCCCTATTCCCAAGCACACAGATTTCGACGAATCTGCTCCCGCACCGAGGACTTCCACAAAAACAGCACACATATGCGCGAAGTACTCCTTAATCAAGAATACCCGCCAGCTATCATCGATGACGCCATCAAAAAAGCTGAAAATCTGGACCGCCAGATTCTTCTCAACCACCAGAGAAACGCCGACCAACACCGCAACAAAAACTTGCTATTAACTTTTACGAGCAACCCACCGAACATAAACAAGGTCCTAAGAAAACACTTTAACATATTGGAACAGAGCGAGCGACTATCCAAAATTTTCACTTCTCCTCCTTGTGTTGTATACAGAAGGCCGAAAAATATAAAGGATCATTTAATAAGTTCAAAGATAGGTGTGAAACCTCAAATTAGGTGTCACCCTTGCGGAAAAAGCAGATGCAGGGTATGCAAACACATGCAGACAACGACAGTGGCGAAAAGCACCCACTCGGATTTTAAGCACAGGATAAGAGGTGCACTAGACTGTGACTCAGACAACGTCATATACCTCCTGGAATGTGGGGTATGTAACAAGCAATACGTGGGCCAGACAGACACTCCGTTTAGAATTAGATTCAACAACCATCGGGCACATGTACGATCTCTGCCAGGCCTTCCACTTTCAAAACACTGCACATTAAAAGACCACAGCTTTGATGACATCAGGGTTACACTACTAGAAAACAACTTTCGAACAATCAGAGAACGGGAACAACGGGAATCTTATTTTATCTATAAATTTAACACGATAAAATACGGAATAAATGAACACCCAGGCACTCTGTCTGCGTTACGACCGCTGAAAGACGCAAACGCTTCCCTCTAATCGCTCCGGTTTCATTACGACAATAATATTACCCGCTAACAAAGCTTTTGGCCTATGCATCTGACAACATAAAAATGATTTGTCTCAGCAAGCACAGCCGGAACGCAAAGATAAGTGGTCCCGGATGTCGTACGGTCCCCCCCTTTTTTTTCTTTTTTTCTTTTTTTCTTTCTCTTCTTTAAGTTTCAACACACATTCTGTTCCTTCACTGACAAGGAGCTGACAGCTAAATGGTTTCGTTAACTTTTTTATACATCCGCGCATGTCTTCCCAGTGAGCCGCAACTGTGTGGTGACTGTCTCGGACGTCGTACAGTCTCCCCCCTCCGCCCCCTGTTCTTTTTTTTCCTTCTTTATTTTTAACGCACATTCTGTTCCTTCACTGACAAGGAGCCAATGCATATAATGAATATCGATGGTGGTGCCTCATTCACCGGCTTTTTCGCTCCTCCCGACGCCACCAGCACGCACTCAAAGCGCTTAAGCCCTCCCCATTAACTTGTCATACACTTCAAAGAGGAACGAGCCGCCAGCGGACTACACGGAAAGGTGAAATACAAGAACGGCGGCTCCCTGCCCACTTGGGGAAGAGTGGGTGCGGGGGTAGTATTGTTGACAATGATGACATTGCTTATCTACCTCTCCTTTGCTCTGTTGAAATGCTGCCCCTTTCTAATTACGCCGTGTCGGTCTTGCTTATTCTCCTAGATTTTCTATATTTTATTTATTGTTTGTCCTCCCGTTTCGCTGTTTCTTTTTTTTCTTTTTTTTCTCTCTCTCTCTCTTTTGACCCCTCCCCTCCTGTCTCGACAGGATATAAGAAGACACGGAACATGTGTAAATAGTATTATGCCTTGAAAAAGACGGGGTTCCTGTCGAAACGTCGGCACAATAAACAGTTGTTATGTGAAAGCGCATCTACTTTTATATTTATAACCTTGCGGCAACCGAAGTTATTCTTATGCATATATATATATATATATATATATATATATATATATATATATATATATATATATATATATATATATATATATATATATATATATATATATATGAAGGTCAGACTCTAGGCTGAAACGTCAAAATAAACAACGTTGTGACCACTCACGGAGGATATACTGGACTATATATATACATATGTAGTCCAGTATATATATATATATATATATATATATATATATATATATATATATATATATATATATATATATATATATATATATATATGTGTGTGTGTGTGTAGTTTACACAGCTCCCTTTCTTATATTTGCCATTTGTCAGAAAGACCGAAGCCGCTATCGCAGTTGCCAGATCTATAAGATTTCTTAATTTTTCATACGGTATTTGGTTACCCACGCTAAATGACACATCAGTGTGTATATTGCTCGAAGACAAATCAGCCAGGTTCCATATATGTTTTGCTACAAGACGATATTGAGCCAAAACAAAAAAAAAGACTAACATTCAGTATTCAGCATCGCAGCTAGCATCGTTCACTGATGCTCTCAGTTTAGCCATAACTAACTACGCAAAAAAAGGGCATGGGATGGCCGCCATAACAGCATAATTGTATGTTCACCTTAGTGCAAGGCGAAGATTTTGAGTTTGCGTCCCCCCGGTGACAGGTTTCTGTTTTCCGCTTTCATTGTCTTTAATCTCTCAACTACCATACTTTCATCGACAGCTTCAAATAACGGTTCCTACGTTTTCGTTGAATCACAGAGTTGTCGAGTTCGCGTGACGGTAGCGTTTGACCGAAGGAACTCCCTGAAATGGTGCCCTTTATAGCTTAAAGTTTTTGGTAGAATTCCTTCCATTTAAAAGGAACGACGTTGTAGGGACGTAATCTACAACTACCTGGGCTATCGTGTGCTGCTGCGCCTTGGTCTGCTCTACCGGACGCACGAGAAGCACGTGAAGACGCTGTTCTACCGCTACCACCTTGGCTACAAGACTGAGCCTGAGCGGTGGCGCCTCTGCTTGCGCTATGCCGAGAAAAGCATGCCTACAGCCGCATCGTGGATCTACCACATGTGGATCAAGAAAAAGTTTGGCCTGAAGGGCGACAAGGTGCGTGTCTCATAAATGTTATAAAAACCCTTGTAGACAATTAGGTGGTTTTCTCTACCATGTTGGGACGGACAATTCGATTAGGATTGAGGCTTGCTACAATGATTAATTCCTCTCTTCATTTGACCAGCTCGCGCAATGTCAGCACCATTTCCTTCTACAACCTTAATGTAAGTAAGAAAACGCGCATAAAACCGCTTAAGTCTGAAATGACTATAAAGAGCACAATGACAGCAACTTCGTTATCCATTTAACTCCCAGATGCACGTCTTTTAAATGAATTTATTAAAAGTAGCGTCGGTTTACTGAAAATTCAAAGCACAAATTATGTACGTGAGTACGCAATGTTTCTCCCGTTGTTTTGTGCGTGTGTTGTTTTTGGAAACCTGTAGTGCTCTTTCGACATTTAAAAAATACATACATCAGCACACTCCAGGGTGTTGCAAGTGTAGATGCAGTAGAAAAATTGCATTTTTTTCGCATAGCTGTTATTAGGCGTCGTTTTTTTAGGCTAAGCAAAACAATTTTGTTTGGATGCGAAAAGGAAGATATTGCCCCCGAGGTAAGAAGAAACACAACGTTTTGTCCATAAAATGGGAATGGAAACTTGGTACAGCAATGTTTATTTAATTCCTTGGTCACTCGTGTAAAATAGGCTTAATATCACAAAATCTGATGTGTTATATTTAATTATCATATCAGCACTTGTTCCCTTCTCCTGACATCATTACAAGTTTGCTACTTTAGACAAAGCCATTTTTATAGTGTGTGATATATATTTGAGATTGTACCGTGATAAGATGTGATGATTTGAGTGCGTATTTTCACGTCGCAGCTTTGGATCAAATTCTTCAACGTGTACCGGAAGATCTACGAAAGCGTGGACTACTCTTACGCATACAGCTACTTGACGACGGCAGACGCTAGAGTTGAAGCATACCGCAAGGTTGGTAAAACAACGTACTTCGTTACAATATATCATGCGTGCTGAATGTTTACATGCAGCAAACACAAAAGAGTCAACGTGCTAATTTTCTTTAATGAATCTAAACACACGGCATGAAGATATTTGGATGGGTGCTTGTCCATTATATTTCATGGTGTAAGTTTCCTTTTTAGCGTTTAGGTATTCATAAACAAAGATGAAATTCTAGCCTGCTTTAAGACGCCGACGAGTTAATTATGAACTTTTAGGGTTACGAGAGGCTAATGGTTCTGCGTAGCACATGGTTAGACTGCCCATGTGCAGCGTTTAATGTCGGTCCTTTCTATTTATTAGCTACAATAAAACAGAATTACAGCTGTGAGTGGCATTGCACTCCAAGGCCGAATATTATGTTAGTACTCAAATATGGACGGAGAGTGAACGAGGCTTAATGCCACAGTAGGCTCTAAGTATGACATATAATTTTAAGTACGACTTGTACTTACATCTAAAGCAAGGTATATTTTCAATTACTAGAATTTACCTTCGCCTTTTTATATCTGATATCTTTTTTACGTAACCAGGCTTTCCGCACACCTGGAAGCTCCACCACAGCATGTCAGTATACCTCAGGTGTAGTGTGCGCGTATATTATGTACGCACTATCATAGAGGCAACATTTATGATTAGAAGTGCTCACAAGCATGCACAAACCAAGAACCGTCAGTGAATACTTAATTGGGCACTGACTTGTGACAGAGAAAAATAAAAAAAGAGTCTAATTTTCAGAGTAGTTTTCACGCTCAATCTTGCTGTAAAAAGAAAATCTAGGCAATCTTAGCTCTTGGCATATTATTTGCGAAGACAGTCGTTGAATGGTGAGGAGCACATGTAAAACATCATCTCACTGAAGACACTCACAGGTCATCGAGACAAACATTGGAACTCACTTGAACTTGACTTTTTAATGGTTAAGATTGTACGCAAGTCAAATATATGTGTGTTTATGAGACTATTATCATTATCTGACTCAAACGAGGTGCATAACCCCTTGTTCACGCCTTCGACTGGAACGAATGTCCACTGCAAGCTTTAAGGATGTGAAAAAGTGCTGTTCAGAAAATTAGCTACACAATTCCTAGAAAGAACCTATAATCTTATACTTTTAAGGAACACCGCAGAGTACCCTTCCAGACGACCGAAGCGCTGAAGCCGCTGACGTCCGCGACTCAAAGAATACTCCTACTTATGCCTTCAGAAATGTTTCCTAAGATTCGCTAGCCGTCCGGCTCATGACGTCAATAAAGAGTACACACCTATTGGCCCACGCTTGTGTGCAATCGCTTTTAAAGAGGAAATGCTACAAATTCTAATGAATCCGACTATACAAACGTATAGGTTCCAAAAGAGCATGTTTTTTACCTACACGATAGATTTGCTAAACACGTCAATGTGTTCCTAAATTAAATAGCCGAGCTCGAGACGCGAGGAGACTTAGAAACTAATATCTTTCTTTCATGTTCCAGCTGAAGGATGTGCGGCTACAGCTCTTTTTTATTAACGCCACCATGACAGACCCACTCCTGAAGCTCTACGGAGGTCAGGTAGGCAACCAGCCGCGTTTGAAGAGTGTTTTGCCTTTGCCGAACACGATGCTTTCAAAAATTTTACAGGAGACCAAAATAAATGTCAATGCTCCGGTTCCAGGAATCTACCAAATGACAAAACATTACTGGAACAACTACTTCTCCATTGGTAAAAACAGTCGCGAACTCGACATTGCGTAAGTAATGTTTGCGTATGGTCTATGTGTACAAACCAGTGCCTTACGATTGCAGCCATTGTTTGTTCTTCACAGCATATGATTGGAGAGTTTACTGAGTGATTAGATAGGAAGCTTCTTTTATTGTAACTGCTAATCAACCATGGAAACTTCTCTACGTCACACATACGGAAGTCGGTTCACAATCATAAACAGAAAACAAATAAAGCACGGTTCTGGCACGAAAATTTAAATTGAGCTTGTCAATCTCAATAAAAAGCTAAACAAATTGTATGACAGTTCTGCGACTGTTTCCGTTTATAATGCTTTTAAATTTTTTGGGCTAACGTTTGTGCAGAGTCCCGGACTAATTTTTGGCGCTGTAGCATCAGCATAATACTCAAACCAACAATACCTGTATATAAGAAACTTGGTTGTGACTGGCTTTAACGATTTTGCGTGCGATTGTGTTTGTTTTTCTTCACACCTCATTTCACTTTCCTTAATATTATTGTCCGCTTACGTTTTCAGGTACACAGGGTCTATCTTCGACATCTACAGCACGTACCACTACGACCTAAATTCTTTGTGTAAGTAATACAAGTAACCATGTGGAGATAAATAGAATGTATATTTTCTAACTATACGCGGAGTATAGAAAACTTTCAGATGACTGTTCCAAACGACAAATAGTAAATACCTCACAAATAAGTAGAATTGCCGTGAACATGTCTCAATTCAGTACTTAGGCGATGTGTACGAAATGCTTAGCAGAAAGGTTCATTGTTCAGTTTGGATGGCCCAGTCAAAATTGAACAACCAATGGTTAACATACCACGTGGTTACCTGTATTTCGTGCGAATATTTATGCAGCGAAAACGTGGTGAGTTGACAAATATTTAATAATGTTGTGGTTTCGCATCAGTGATGCAGCTCGTTCACTTCATTAAGGCGGGAGGGTTAAAGCATTCACTGAGACAAAAAAAAAGTGAACGTTGAAGATCCACCTTTTAGAGTTCAACGTCATAGCGATATTCTGTTCCTATACTGCGTACTTGAAGCGCTTAATGCATGAAATCTTCCTGTGCACACTCTACGTGGCCTTATGGCGGAGAAGCGTGCGTGCCTTTTTTTAGTGGGAGAATAGCTTCAACTATGCAAATATTAAGTTATTATGATAATCCCATGTTCGGACCCCTAATGGCATTACACGCTTGTGCCATTCATTATTACGGCAATATTTCATGTTGTATTGTGGAATACAAGATGTGCGCGTTCGTAAAGAATGGAAGTTGCTTTCACTGCATTTACAAGCAGAGGAAGCTATTTTGACCGAATTCGCAGGCATAGCGATGACCATAGTTATAGCTCGAGAACAAATAGACGACACAGAGACAAGGACATGAAGGACACGAGTGCTCGTGTCCTTCATGTCCTTCTTGCCGTCTTTTTTTTTCTCGCGCTATGACTATCGTCATGTCATACAAACTAGCGCAAGCTGCCACACGCAAGCATAGGCGTGGCTGTAGGGTAAAACACTCGCCTGCCGAGCAAACGACCTGGGTTATTCTCCTCTCATACGCAGATTTTTATTGTGTATTATAGTAGCACCTGTCTTAAATTTTTGGTCATGAATCTGTTTTTGCTCACAACAAACGATACCCATGCCAACGCTGGAGTTTCTGCGGAGTGAGCTATTGAAAGATATAGCGTTAAATGACTGTCATCTTATATCGTCATACGCGAATGTATAAGAGATACCGTAAGCCTTTTTTTTTACAATTATAACCTGGTAACCCAGACAAGCCCATGCGTTCGGTATTTGATGCAGGTTTGTAATACTTTCGCCTATTTTCATACTTAAAGAGAACTAATGGTATTTGGTTTAATATGTTCACGTTTGTTCTTTGAGGTCCACGCAATAAATTTTGAATGGAGCCAGTAGAGAAATAGACTGATTTCACCACTCCAGCATGTGTAAGTCTGCAACAAGAGAACACACAATCTGTTTAATCAGCCAACATGACATAGGAAATTCTCTTAAGTGAATAAAATGATGCTGCACGTTTCATTTACAATATCTACATTCGTCACTAAAGCAAGAAGCATAATATCATCACTCCCTGAGTTTCCCGTTTTCATCACTGAGACTAGTTGGAAGCATTTAGACTGATATTTCAAAGCATGGGTTGAAGAGAAAATTTTTCAACAAAGAACGGTGCATTGCAATACCCATTTTAAAATATCTTAAAAAGCTCGTGCGTAAAGTTTGAACTTAGCTCTTGTGCTCCGCTCAAACTCAGTGTTTCATTACCAATACAGCGTTCAATCTTCAATCATTCAATTTTTATGACGATTCACGAAAGGCTGCTCATGCACATGAGGCTGTAGGCTTATGTCCGCGGAGAACCTTTGTTGAAGACAACACCCACTTTGTATTTCAGATATGTTCCAGTGCACGATAACAATGAGTGTATAAATACGAGGGTCTTTTGAAAAGTTGAGGCCGGTTGAGGCCCGACAATTAGGTATTCGCTCATCCAGCCGATAATATTCTTTCGCTAATAAAGGCCGGCCTGGTTTGGTACAACCATAGTTCACATTTCAACATACCCAGCATGCACTTTTAAGCATTTCTTTGTAACACTGCACCTGTTTTTTAGTCCCTCTGAATAACAGTACGCTACCTGTGAATCTTTTGCTGTTTGAGTTGGTCGGTGAGCGCTTGTTGGTGCCCTGCTTGTACACGCTGTGAATTTCAAGCTTTTCAAGTACAATGGTGTAAACAGTATAACGTTAAAGAAAGTAAGTCTATGCAACACACTACAAACTGTCAAGCATCAGTGCAGCGATTTTAAATATATTTGTGCTGATTGTGAAGCAATTTGAGAAGTACAGATATCATTTTTGACGTTCGATTCTCTTATCAAGTATAAGTCCATTAACTAGGCACAATGTTTCATGCATCTGTGAAGGTGATAAGTCAAATCGTAGCTCGTACTTTCCAAGTGGTGGAAGGAACTATTTTCGCTGCAGGCACTCTCAGCTTCGCTGCTTATTTATTTATTTATTAATTCAATACTGTGGGCCTTTTCAGGCCTATACAGGAGAGGGCGTACAGAGCAAATAACACTTCATATTGCGAAGATGACAAGAAAAGAAAAATAACGATATAACAGTATAAAGCAATCATGAACAATGCACAGGTGTTTCACTAAAAAAAATTACTTTGCATGATAACATCAACGGTAACATTGGTATACAGATGCAGGCGGTTAAGCACATGTAGCAATGTGCGAGCACATGCGCGATACACTGTTTCAACTTTTATTTCGGCGAAGAGAGCACAGGATTTATTGCAATGCCTCTAAATGAATTTCCAACAGCGATGAAAATGATTCAGGTGATTGTGCACTGACAACGTCTTTCGGCAAGTCATTCCACATCTTTATAGCTGCGGGAAAAAAAGAATACTTCAACGTGTTACAACGTGACAGGATTGGGCGTATGCATTTGTCATTGTTAGTTCTACTGGAGTGACGGTGCGGAGCTTTAAGGTAATCATCCCTATTTAAATTTACCAGGTTGTTTGAAACAAAAAAAAGAAATTTCAGCATGGCTAATTGTCGTCGGCTAGCAAGAGTTGCGACACGTGCTTGTAAACTCAGCGCAGAAAGACTCTCCCGCCTGGCATACTTTGAAAAAATAAACCTAAGAGCCCGGTTTTGAATCTTTTCCAATGCATCAATCATGTTTTTTTGGTGCGGGTTCCAAGCTATTGCTGCATATTCCAGGACGGGTCTAATGAGCGTCTTGTACGCTGTTAGTTTAACTTGAGGGGAAGTTCCGGTTAGTTTACACCTTACAACTAGGTTGTTTAAATGCACGTGATGAATTATGATTAATGTGAACATCCCACTTTATTGATGACGTTATTGTGACCCCCAGGTACTTTACGGTATTAACGTGCTTGATGTCTGCCCCAGAGAAGTTGTACTGAAAGAGAAGTGGTGTCTTTCTATGGGAAATTGTAATGCACATGGTTTTGTCTGTATTATTTGCATACCATGTTTTTCACATCATTACCCAATATTTTTTAAAGATTTGTCAAGTTTGGCCTGGTCTTCTGTTGTGCTCGTGGGAGAGTATATGATGCAGTCATCTGCAAAAAGCCTCATTGTAATACCTGGTTTCATAGCAGTGTAGATGTCATTGATGTATATGAGAAAGAGTGTTGGTCTTTGTACGAACCCTTAGGGAACACCAGAGAGCACGTCGGCACGATCAGACTCAACATTATATAGGAAACATACTGGGTGCGGTTGGAAAGATAAGCGGAAACCCAATTGACTATTTTTGAGTTAACTCCAAATGATTAAAGTTTTTGTATGAGCAACGAGTGCAGGACGCGGTCAAATGACTGAGAAAAATCAATAAATATTGCATCTATTTGCAGTCTAGACATAATAGCTAAAGAAAAGTCATGAGTAATCTCTAAAAGTTGTGTAGTGGTTGAAAGCTTCCTTCTAAAACCATGTTGGTTCGGATAAAGCAGATTATTTTCTCTAGATAGTTCATAAGTGCTTTGTTAATATATGCTCAATTACCTTCCAGCATGTACTTGTCAGTGATATTGGCCTGTATGTGTTTATCAGTTGTTTGTTCCCACTTTTAAGAATAGGAATTACTTTTGCACACAACCAATCATCAGGAAGCACCACTGTTTCTAATAGGGAAAATATCTTTTGCAGAAAATGGGCTAGTTGAGCGGCATAGCGCTTAAGAAAAGCATTAGAAATTTTATCCAGGCCTTCAGATTTTTTAACATCGAGTTGAAGAAGCAGGTTAAATATCCCAGACTGTTATTGTTAACTCTGGCATGTGATTTTTACTTTTAGACGACGGTAAAAATGAAGGCTGCGTACGCGTGAAAACTGATTGGAAGTAAATGTTGAAAGCATCTGCAACTGCAATAATCCGTGCATCTTCAACACGACTACCCGATATTTCGATTTTAGTTACTGTGCTATTTGGCTTTGATAAGTACTTCCAAAACTTACGCGGTTGATTTGTCATAAACTCAGTCAGAGGGCTTGAGAAAAAGCGGTCTCTTGCCATCTTTGTTTCCGTTTTTAAGTGGCATGAAAGCTCATTGAGCGCAGCGGATTTCTTCTTATGTTTGCGGAGTCGTTGTACTTTTCTCTTTAGGTGGATTCTGTTTTTCGTAATCCACGGCGTTTTACGCTTAGGTTTATTTAGCTTAGTAGGCATGAAGGTTGATTCACAATGCGTGATTTCAGATTTTATTTTGTTCCATAGATCCAGGACACCCAATGACGTATTAAAGAAATCGTCTTGTGATGCTTCAAGAAAATCTATAACTTTTTCGTCATTCGCTCTGTAGTAATCTTTAACTGATATGCGTGTCGTAGTCAAGCGGATGTCAACTAAGCCAGAACAATGTTTGATCACCTTGCTCAAGAATGAATAGGTGGACTGCATAAAGGCATCGTTACGCTGACGCGCAAATATTAGTCACCGGCTCTCGCTTTTTAAATATCCCTTTTAGTGGGGACGCCAATGCGCCTGTAATATACAACATTGCGCATAGCGTTCACAGTTTTTGCCTAATAAATGCAGTTCAGCGTATGAATGTTTGTCAGCAATCAAATAGGTTTTTAAATAGCCATTTTCAATGTCCTATGCCATATTTTGTTTGCTATCTGGCTGCGGAAACGCACAGACTCACAAACGCAGACGGGCGAAACTCAATAAGTCCAGTTATCTGTGTTTTCCATATTTTTCAAGAAGACCTAAAAATTAATTTTCGGTGCCCACATGATAATTGCAATCTTTCCCGCTCAAGCACATTTCTGTAATTTGTTGGCAGTTTTTAGGTTATTCCTAAGCGTTATAAGCTGAACATCCGTGATAGCCAATTTGTCCTGCGAAGTGTATGACATCAGTGGCATAGCCAAGGAGTAGAGCACCCTGCCCTTGATCCTTAGTTCTCATTTTTGTACCACAGCATACATAGCAAAAATGACAACTCGACCATACCTGCCTTCCCAAAACCCACTTGAAAGCAAAGTAGTGCCTCCCCCCTCCTCTCTAATTTTTTTTTCCACGCATGGTTCATATGTTTGTCTCTTGGTGTTTATTTCTTGTGTGCATGTCCTCTGCTTTGGCATGTGCTTGCGTGTTGTTTTTATTCAAACAAGGCCACTTCGCCTTATTTTTTTGTTTCAGACATTTCTCATGGCGCGTTTCATGGACCTATGTATGCAAGGGACCACCGTCTGTGAGTAACTCCGTCTTGTTCATAAAACCTTCCGGAATATTGTTTAGCATCCACAATTGAGGAATGTCAATTGGGGCAGTGATCCCACTTCTTTTGTAAAATCTTCATTTGAGCGCGGCTCAGTGTTCATATGCTATATATTAGGTCATATTTGAAATAATCTATTCTTTAAATGCGAAATATTTACGCAGTTGCGGTTCATTATTGTTACTAGGCGGCTACATTTGATCTAGGCGTACCATGTTACTAGTATTTTGCAACGCCTGTATCAGCATACCACTCTTCGAGATGCGTAAATAATGTCCCGGTGGGTTTAAACGTGCATGGTGCGAAGCAGAAAGAGTTACATACATTTTGCTAGCTATTATTCTCTTGAGTACTCTTATGGTGCCACCCTTTAATATCTTAAACAGTGACACTAGAAAAAACTGTACAAACTGCGCCCCTGCCGGCAACAACTCGTGTTCAAGGACAAATTAGCGTACTTTTGTTTTTGTGTCCTCGCGTAGTACCTTGTTCATTAGATAGGATTAATGAACAGTTCATAACAAACGTTTACAATTGGTGCATTTTGCTCACTACATCAACCAACGTTTGTTTTGATTACTCGCCAGAACGCCTAATATAAATGTCTTTCAAAGTCGACAGATTCCTTTCGGAGAACATGTCGAGTTACGCGGCAGTCTTTCGTTCTTTTTTTTTTTCAGACTTCTCGACTTGGTAAAGAGTGGCTACAGAATTGGTAGAAACCTGCTTAAAGCAATCGATGAAAGAGGTGAGCAAGTCATGCGCAAGTTGTCTTAGACAACTTGACGCTACATTTACTACAGTATTTCCTGAGAAGCGAATATCGTACCGTTCTGTTTTGTCTTCCTCACCTGGAGGTACGTAGTGGTTGGAAAAATTCAATACATCTCTTTGTCCAACTGTTAGAAGTTCAGGTGATACAGGCGTACGGGAAGCCCATGTGCTCTTAAATGAATCATGTGCATGGAGGAAATAAAATAATGAGTCGCCAAACACACACGTGTACTTCTGCCTTGTGTCATACGAAAACAAAAACGCACATTTCACGTTTATAATGTTGACTTGAAGATTTTCTACTCTCTTCCACTCCGCTCAAAAAAAGTTCTGCCTCCTGTCAAAACGACGAATACATATCTTGTTTATTTATTCGCAGCTGCAGTTATTACTTTTTGATCCCCACATCGAGGGAAACTGACTGGGCGTACGCATATATATGTATATATATAGTTGTACCAAGCAGCATACATAGCAGTCTCTTACATAACATAGAGTAGTGGGCCGTTCATCTTCTATTGTCAGATTACGTCTAGAAAGTATCCAGTTGCCCGAGTGTGACTGTGCGTAAATTGTTTTTTTTTCGTATACGACACTGTAACCAAAACGCTCAGGAACGCATTTTCGCTGTAATTCAAAATAAATCATATACTATATTGAAAGTAAAGAAGTGGGGTGTAGGCTTTTGGGAGGCGAGAGACGTAGAAAACGCAAAGAACAAAGTAGGGAAGGTGGAGCGAGTCGCAATCGACTAAATATTGTGTTTATCAACAACCGCCATGGGCGTGGTCTGTCCTGTACTACAGTGATGTCTGCCGAGCGTCTTCGGTAGGTGCGTGGGAAGGTCAGAGTCAGCGTCTCATGAAATACTACGCTCCTGACAGAACTACTGCAGGACTCCGACATCGAAGAGTGTGCAGCCGACAGGCAAGTCACCATTTTGATGACTAGAAAAGCTGAGCACCACTTGGACAAGCAGACCCTCGATGTACCTGCAGATGAGGCAGTTTACCAGCAATTCCAGTATGCTGCAAACTACCGTGAGAAGATCGTGCAGGCAATCACTAAGAGGCAATGCTTCCAGAATAAATGTGAACAGTCTCTTCAGCCACGCGACATGAGCTATTCTGCGATTTATAACATCAGAGACGATAGTGCAAACTACAACAGAGCTGGTTTGTGCACAACAGTAAACAACTGTGACAGCATATCCGAAGACATGAAAACAGACATCACAATTTGTGAAGGTCCGTATTCTAAGCAAGAAAGCGGAGTGTATATGCGAGTGCAAATTGAGATGAAATTGATTTGATCAAAGTGGAAGGCAGTAACACCGAATCGGTGTGATGACGTGCAGAAACAAGGAGCCATCGAAAGAGGATCCAAAGAGCGAAGCCTCTTTTAGCGATAGAAGAGCGGTGAGGATGTGCGAGACCGGGGAGCTTAACCAGCAATAATATGAATAGGAAACTCATGGACAGCTTTTACACTATTGGTTAGGCAACAGTGACCCCCTGGAGCAGTTCGGTGGCGCTTCGTATTGAGAAGAATAACCAAGAGAACAGTATCAAGCGATGACCGATCCCAAAAGTGCCGGTGGAAGCCGAAGTAACCGCGGAATCTGTGACATGGATAACAGAATGAAGTTGCGTCAAGAACTAACTGACGGTGAGTGACAAAGAACCTAACGACAGCTTAGCCACCAACAATGGCCTATTCAATCGCCTGGTTGGTAGAGCGAGCAGTACTACATTGTTTTCTGACATGTCCTCTTCGCTGGATGCACCAGGCGGACGTAAGAACTTCGTCCCGCTCAGCTTCGAGGAACTCGACGAAGCCGGGACGAAAAATGGAGACGGTTACCTTGTAAGGAAACTGGAAATGCTGCTTTTGCCTCTGCAAGTGAGGCTTAGGGCCCTGAAAAAGGGCCGACGCAGAACCGCCTCCATGCGAAGCAACAGTGCAAGCATCACAGTAAGAATATTCCGATGGAGGAGGAGCGAGCAAGGCTCATATTTCAGGCGTAAGCGAGAAACGTCGCTGTAACTGTCCAGGCATTTCATAAAAAACAATGCATTAAACTATCTACAGGAGAACCTGAGTGCGCAGTACACCCACAATGCCACACCGAGATGGAAACGGCGAATGTGTAAGCGGGTGCATCATTTACGTGTCGGATCAGTAAGATGACGTAGCTGCATCACGGACGAGGCTATGTGGTCACGGCCAGCTCCATGCGTTCGGCAACGAACCACTTGTTGAACCAGCCGGGAGAAACTCTGTACATGTTGTAAGAAGCAGCGTGAAACGTATCACATTCGCTTCATCTCCCTAGGAGGATGTTGATAATAAAGAAGTGAGGAATGGGCTTCTCGGGAGATGCGAGGGAGAAAAAGAAGAAGCTGAAATGTGGAGCCAGCCCTTTTGAAGTAAAGACTTCTTGCAGTGCTGTGACCACAGGTCTTTCTTCTTGACATATACTGTGCATCCCAGGATGTAGGGGGAAACTTGGGTTATTGCCATCACGTGAACATTATCTGAGGAACATTATCACGTGAACATTATCACACCACGCAAATCAGGTGTTCTGTTATTACGGTTATTGTAAACGGTGCCTGCATCTTACGGACAGAATCACTTCAGAGCACAGTGACACATTTCACTATAAAATTTCGTAAGACACAGCACAGAGTAGTTAACATATACTATCATCTTGGATTCGATATTCATCTGTCTGACTGTTATTCATATGCAGGCGGCTACATTGACTCCGAGCACGCGCGAGAAGACTGGATGGGCTACTACACCCGGCAGAGGCTCTTGGCAAACAAGCAGTGCGTCTTCAAGCAATACACCAGCAAGAGGGTCGCTGAGAGCCGTCTTAAGGTAAAATATTTTTTTCAGGTCAATTTACATACCGGATGTTTCGAGGAATGCTTCATTAAATCCTAAAAAAAATTAATTCAGTGACCAGGCATGGCAAGCTGCTTTCATAATAAGTTTTTGGTTAGTGACAACGTGTTTCAGTGAAACATTTTTTTCTTGTGCAAAACACTGATCTCTTTTTCACGGCTTATTGCCTATGCGTGTAGACGCCTCGTTGTCCTCTGTTTATTCGGAATATGAAATTAGGCAAATTAGACAAAATGCTTGCGCGCCAATGATCATTTTTTTTCCCGAAAGTAAGCTTAACGAAGTGATAGCCAAGGTTCGGAAGGAGGGCTAAATCGTCGTTAATATTCGTTCAGCGAACAGGGAGCGCATGAAAACACACCAAAGACAGAGAAGGAACCACACTGCACGAGCGCTCACTAACAACTGATTTATTTTCTCGTTCGAATGATTTATATGTAATTACAAAATTGTGCATGTCAACAAGAGTATGATTAGAGTCGAAACTACCACTTGACAACGTTGGTTAACTGCTAAATTTGTATAAATTCATTCCGTTATAATATACACACCAGCAGTCTTTTCAGCAAGCCAATTTGAATGTTCAGGATTGTGCTGTCCACCCGCGCTGGATCAGAGGTTATGTTTCTCGGCCTCTGACCCGAAAGTTCCGGGTTCGATCACAGCCACAGCGGTCACATTTCGATGGAAGCGAAATGCTAGAGGCCCGAGTACTGTGCGATGTCATTGCACATTTAACACCAGATAGTAAAATAATGGAAGCGCTTCACTACGGTGACACCTCACTTATAGTTGTTTAGGAACGTGAAACCCCAGATATTACATTTTAGACATTCTGCTACCTACCGTAGGCAGTTTCTATAAATTAAATAAAAATACTTCATTTCCTATTTCGTCTGTTCTCGCAATTTGTTCGTACTATTCTTCATTCATACTTTTTTTGTTTTTAGGCATGATTTTTCACCCAATGCACACCAGCTCAAAAGTATCAGCAGCGGTTAATAGACAGTCAGAATGCTTTTGTCAGCATTCAGTTATTTGATTTTTGTAAGCTCACAATACAAGCTCTTTTGTAGGCCAAAGATTTTCCTTATATCTAGCTATTTGTTTTGATTGTATTAATATACCACTCGCGACTGAAGAATGCTCCTGGTGGTCTGGGCCCCGTTACTTGCATCTGTCAAAGGGAAAATCAAGATAATTTCATTACTATAATAAATATTCCGAACTCGATCATGCACTCGGACTGTACAAAGTTGGGACTGCTCAAGCAGCGAAACATAACTCATTTTGTTATGATTTGTATTATTGCTTTAAGTTTACCGACCTTCTCACTGTGCATTCCATTCCTCGCAGCTGAACGCCAACGCAACAATTGATGAGGACATGATTGACGTCGCCATCGTGACGCCGCTTTTGAGGGTAAGCTTGATCTCCCTTACGTGGTCATCTGCACGACTGCATTGTGAAGCGAAGTAAGTGCAGTTCTTCGCGTGACAATCTTCCTCGTGAAGTCATACTTTGTAAAAGATGAGATACCTTTATGAGTAGCCGCGTAGACAGGAGGCACACCGGACCCGTGGTTCCCCGAAAACTTTTCGCCATGACATACACACAAAAATATGACCGTTTTAAGGGGGTACCTCCCCTATCCCAAAGTCATACAAGCAAGCTCCCCCCCCCCCCCCGCCCCCTCCGAAAAAAGTTATATCTCTGTCCCGAATTGTAACACAAAAAGTGCTAAGGGGATTTTCAAAAATACTTTGAATGGCAACAAAAATCAATTCACCACAACTCTGAAGCTTTTATCATAAGAACCGCGTTTGTGCCAAGCTTGTAGCTTCTATGTTACGCTGTCGAGATCAAGGACAATTCGACCGTCGGTAAACTTGACAATGAGAATGATAATGGGTAGTGTAATGGGCCTTTTATCACACTGTGTATTTCCGTGGGCTTTAATCACGAGAATACTTTGTACCAGCGACGGGATCTGAATTATGTGTAAGCATGAAGTAGTTAGACATTCTGCTTATACCTATATATTTTGCAGAAGTTTCCTGTTGCCCTGACAACTCCGCCACCTTCGCTCAACTTCTTTACGCTTTTTTTAACTAACCGTCTTCTTATTTATTCTGTGAGCTGGCCAGTTAACGCTTCCAGCATGCAGAAGTACCGGTGGTACGCCCAGTTGTAACCTCACCTACTCTCAAAGGCGGAGATTCCCTCCCATCGTAATTCCATCCCTATCGAAAAAAAAACGAATGGTGGGCATGGTGTAAACCACCACCGACCATTATAGTGGATTAATGTAGTGGGTGAATGGTGGGAGACGCCCACCAGGGCGCGTGGTGGGATATGGTGGGTGCTGCTGTGCCGGCAACGCTTGAGCGCGAAATGACGTCAGAATCACCGTGACGAGCTGCCACAAAAAATAAAAAAGAATTCTATAAAAACAATATAAAAAACACCCGTCCCGTAAAAAAAAACAAGGCGCCACGGAGGATCGAGCGTGCAACCGGCGGATTCCCCTTCGAAGACGCTAACCACTGCGCCACCCCAACATGACGTTGATTGTGTGTTAAATACTTAGTTGGCATACAAACTTACGGTTTAACTTAAATTATGTTTGTCGTGTACACAACATAGACAAGATCTACACCTGCTACTAAAAATTGCAGATTCATTAAACACAAGCAACTGCGGCCTGTAACGATTACCACTATGTTAAAGGCACTAGTGCTATTGTTTTTTACAATTCACAATTTCAAGAAAAAAAAAACAAGTGGACTGGGGAGCAGCAACAGTCTACCGGCGGGGTCTGCCAAGTTTGATATCCGTTTCGCGCTCGTTCTAAAGGGCGACATCTGCTCACGCTTTATGACGCTTCTAGGCTCATTCCAAAGATACGCCCGCCTAATTTATTTGATCGAGTATTGGGATGCTTTTCGCGCAATGTAGAGGGCGGTCGCGCCAGCGCAATGCTGTAGCTCTTTCGCTAAAGCAACAACTACATAACGGCTTGGCCAAAACGAATGCAGTGTGCCGGAAACATTACGCTATCATATTGGTTCACCAAGCATACGAATTGCCACGTCTGAGTTCTCGTACAAAAGCTAGAGTAGTGCCGGCGAGTGCGACCGGCGGCTATCGGTGAGAAGACACTTACGTTCTCTGGGAGTGCTTTTCTCGCGTCGCATCGATGTTTGTTGCTTCTTGAGCAGACACCATACACAAAAAATGCTTCATTTAGGGTAATTGATGCCATGGCTGCGCTGTATTGTCATACTTAATCATCCAAATCGTGTATTCTGAAACCCGGAAGCACGGATAACACAACTGTACGGGCTCGGTCGGTAGGCCTAACCTTCGGTGGAAATCAGGGTGGTAGAACATGTAGTGTAGAGATCCCAGCTTAGCACACTATATAAATTGCCTGCCATTATAAGCCCACCCATCATCTGCTAACTGCTTCCCAGCATTATCGCAATGGTGGGAAGAGTTTCTCAGCTTGGTAAACCATGTATCCCACCATAATAAGCACCACCCACTATATGCTTAGGACTTCCCAGCATTATCGCAATGGTGAGCAGAGTGTCCCAATATTGCCCACTATCTAGCCTCTACTTTCCACCATCATTTCCACTTTACCAATCATCTGTACACGATACCGCCCAGTATGTCCCGGCATAACCACCATATTTTCCACTACGTCCCACCATAGCCATCATAATTTCCACCATGCCAACTATTATTTCCACCATGCCCACTATTATTTCCACTACGCCCACCATGTTTTCCAGTATCCACCATGGCAATTTTTCCGATAGGGATATGTCATTAGCTTTTCCCGCATTGTGCCAGTCAGGAAACCTAATTTGCCTTCATTGACCTCGGCACCATGTGGAGATCGCAGAAGCCGGCGAGGTGGACAAATACCCATCTTACCGACGGCTGCTCAACGGAATTCCACGTGATGTTTACGTTTTGAACTTTATCTACCCAAGACTTCAGTGGGAGGAAAGTGTGTTAGGTGTACTGGCCACTTCTATCAGAGTGACTTGATATAACGCCAGCTTTCAGACAAACAGTTTTGAATAAGATTGCTTTGGCTCACACAGTTTTGCAAGTGCCTATATCAGGCAAGCAAAAGATCCATGCCTCATGTGGATCAAGAACTTTGAGGAACAGTAGAATGACAAAGTGAAATAAGCGGATAAATTAATTCATAATTTATTCACACAATAACGAAATTCTCAGACACTACAAATACAATTCAATGTCTTTATGCGAAGTTCTTGACACAATTACGCACTGAGTACATGCATGAAGGAAAGCTTAACAGTAAAATTTTATTCAACAGGTGGCTTTCTTAATCAATAACTAGTTCGTTCCTCCACTGATTTTGTAAATGTTTGCACTTCATGTTGATTTTTTTCCTGCTGAATTGTTTGCTCGAGTTCTTTTCACTAACAAAAACTATGTTGTAGTGGTTAGAAATATATGAGGTCTATAGTTTTCGTCTTGTGTACTGCACCTCCATCTTGCCCCACTGTCATAAAGCGTGCTGATTTAAAACGACATCTTGCCATTAAACTTCTCCGTCATTCTTCGAGTAAACGGAAACTTTGAAGTGTCTCCTAAATAAAAACAACAAATACAAAAGTGAATTCACTGCTTTTTTATGTCTGACTTGAAGTTCTTCAGGAAGCTAATCTACGAAAAAGCCTACCCTTTCCCGGACTACAGGCTACAAGGTCTTCATCACGTGTCCTCGGACCAGCTTTTTTTCTACTCCTTGGCAGAGGTGAGTTTCAGCCTTTCTTTCTGAATAGTGCTTGACCATCTCTAATAAATTGTGTTGCTGGTGCATCTTACTAGGCTTTCAGAGAGCTTGTAAAATAGTTAAATAAAACTGCCTGTGTTACGAGCTACTCACATCATCACCTATTACGCAGCACAAAATGGAGAATTCTTATAGTCGAGCTTTGAAGTGGTTACGCAAAATTACTTCACATTGATGTGAGTCGAATACATCGAGTGCGTGAGCGCATGCGAATGCTATTCCATAAAAAGCCGTACCGACTATCAAATACATCCAAGTAATCTGGAGACGGTTTTAACTTCCAGTCTTTCTGCGAGAAGACGACACGCGAGGCCGTGGACGAGCTGATCAACAACGGTACCTTCAGCCCCAACAAGTATCGGTAAGAAGCTGTTGCTCATCTTCTTTTTTCCGCGCTGATCTTGGAATTCTTAAAATAAACCTATTTCTTTTATGACCAGAGTAAAATAGGAGGCTGTGAGCTGTCCTTCAAGGTACAGCATATAACTGCAGGAAGTGAAAAACAGTAACAATGAAATTACTGGAAAGACCACTGGGTTTCTTCTCTATGTAAGTGAGCATGAGGATCGTTTCATTTCTGAAATAGAAAGCGATGGTACACTAGCGTGGACGGCACAAACGAGCCACCACTGACCTACATTAGCCAAATTTGACATTTTATTGCACAACATTAGTCATTTGGCCATGATATGGTACCACTCAACAGTAAACAATAGTAGCACGCCAACAGTACACAATATTACCACCGTGCAGCCAAGATTATTGATCCCTTCCCGACGTAGCCAGTGATGACTAATGCTGAGTGTATTCTAATAAGTACGGTAGGCCAAGACGCTAGTCGACCTTTCGCGTTCACCCTTCTTGACTAAAGTGGGCACAGTGAAGGAAGTGTTGAAAGCTTCTGCGTGTGGTAAAAGATATAGTACCACTAGCACCAATTGTCAACAGCATACAGTTGACATCCCGATCACTGCGTACGTGTATATAACTAGTGAGCTTTCACATTCTCATTCCTAGTCATCACACGACTCTTCTATGTACGATGTTTTCGTGTCGTCATGCATACTACGGTGCCATTGTGCACGTCACCACACCAACCTTTGTAAGACAGCGGAGGTGTGCATACCTTATGACATAAATGTCTACAAACACGCTTGACTGATTGTATGGGCAAAACTCTCATCCTGCGTAGAAGCCCGATGATCAGTATTATGCGCTAACTTTTTATCAGAGTTTTACTTCGGGGTCTAACATGCATTCAGTGACGCATTTCTGGAACCACAATAACGTCGAGAAAATCCACACAACTGAAATTGCTATGACAAAATTGCGCTACTAGGAGCCCAACTCACAAGCTCTCGGTCCACGATAGTAGCAGCGTCGCACGCTATCCACAGCACCACGGTAACACCCTGGGGAGGCCGTAGGAATGCGCTTTTCTACATTATATCTCAGACAGCCCTGGGCCGGGATGCTTAGAAAATTATACCGGAATACATATATTGCGAGACATCTCGGACTCGTCGAACTAACGTTTTCTGGCAGGCTCAGTCTGCATGATGAACCGGGGTATCTTATAACGCCACCAACCTGGTAGGCAATGTGTTGCAAGCAACACTGTCGGAAAAGGCGTATGCAGTGCACAGTTAGTTCTCTCATACGCTTTCACCCTTTTTACCGCTAGATATTCTTGAAGACCAACGGCTTGAGCGACGAGGGTACAGTGTACCACACACAGCTTTTACCGGGTGGAACTCTTATAACTGGTGCCGTATACAAACACATATCCAAGCCTTTCGTTGAAGCATGTCATTCACCCTGCGATGTATAGCGATTGTTGTCGGTGGTGCAGAGGCAGGCCCACTCTCGCCCACATAACGTGTAATTGTCAGAACAGGCCAACCAAAATTAACTCGCCGCAAATAGCCGGCAAAATTTCCGCTAGGAGCAATGGGAGACTTTGCTCGCCAGCGAGAGTCTGGGGTGCAACTATAGCGATCCTCAACCAGGCGCAGCGGGCCGCTAAAGCCAGTGGAGCCCTGGAATAGGGGCCCCACCCACATGCTTTCCGTATCTTTTTTACCTTGTTTCTTCTTCAAATAAACGTTTTGGTATATCTCTCACACGCTTTGCGTCTCACCAGTTTTTTCATTCCGATTGTGGGCGTCCCTGCAATCTCAGCTTACCAGAATAAGTAGAGTCAATAATTACTCCAGCTCACATCTAACATCCAAAATTTAGTTTACCTATACAGAATTTTCATCGCACTACTTATTGTTGCAAAAGTTATGTTTACCTCGAATCATTAACTTCTTCTCACCGTTACTCCCTCGAGCTATATTGACTACAGT